GGAATGAGCAACAGAAGGACCTATATATTATGTACATTGAAGGTGGAGAATTACTCACATAAGTAATTTAAAAAAGTTCACAATCTACATCTTTTGGTCGAACAAGTTCCAGTGCCGTGTTAAATACAATTATATGCAATATGCCTGCATTCAATAGATTAAAAATATCTAGAAAAGAAAAGTGATTCAAACTAACAGTTAATCAAACATAAGAAGTAATAGAACCACCAAAAAGCAAGTCCAATCACTAATAGAAGTTGGATACACGAATAATTATAGCATGTAGACTAAATAAGGACAGCTAAAATAAGTGAAACAACATGTCAAAGAAAGATAATGCTAATGTTAGTACTTTCAAATCTAACATTTTGGAGAAGTTTGTCTCTATTGATGTATTTCAACAAGAGGACTTGTCATGATAAATTAGTTATATTAGCTTGGATGAAGGAATTTTTAAGCAATAAATGTGGCACATACCTGATAAGGTTTTTTTTCATGGTACCGTTTTGAGATACACCTTGCGCATGCAACTTCTTCACTCTACCATCTATATAAAGTTTAGACAGGCACTCATGCGCTTATGCAATAAAATCCCAGATTCAAAGTTGTGGTTACTGTTTGCATATAAGAGGATTTCAACTGCTCGTGCAACTTCTACACATCTTAGAGTTATCAATGGTAACTATTTTTAAATTCATAAGCATCAGTAATTTCTAATGCCAATCCAGATTCAAAGTTGTGGTTATTGTTTGCATATAAGAGGACTTTAACTGCTCGTGCAACTTCTACACATCTTAGATTTATCAATGGTAACTATTTTAAATTCATAAGCATCAGTGATTACTTTTTACTTGATCAATATTTACATCCTGTAGAGCCTTAAATACAAGTTCTAGGAAGGTAGATTGCAATCAACAATAGGAAACTGGACTCAAATGTGAGGAAAACAAATTATATTGAAGAAAAGGAAGTCGTAAGTTTTGTCAAAGCACAATAGTGGACTATCAAAGAACAAAAAGAGATTACAAGTTGTGAGTTTTTTAACTGGTAAACTCCATTCAGTCCTTATTTTCTTCGTCTCCATTAGAAATAGAATGTACCATGTTACATTCCATCGATAACTCATTAACGCAATCAATGGACAATAAGCTACATATATATCAAACGAATACAAGACGATACTGCCAAATATCAAGTACACCACAAATAAAAGATCGCTTTAGCCTGCACAAGTACCTTGTCTTAGCTTGTTGTCCTTGTTCCGAGATGTGAAAGGTTTCTTTGTCAAGTGTTCTTTTAAATCTATAACCAACATAACAATAGTAGACCCAATACATTTCTATAAATTGACAATGTTGCATAATTTTGTTTCATACTTCTAACAAATAAATTTCTAATGCATTTCGTTTTGCATCATGTATACAACAATATATACATTAAAAATGCATAATCATCTAGAAACATGAAAATTCCCAAATTAGCAACCATTTGATTAAAAAACAATGCAAATAAGCACATAAGTAGCAAAAAACCTATTAACGGAAAAAGGAAGAGTCACCCATGTCAAAGTTTCAATTTTGGTGCAAGACCCAGTAACAAAATTGATGGAAAACGGCAAACTTTGGCAAAAGGCACGGAATTTAAAGATGGTACCTCGACGCTTTTCTCAGGAAGTAAGATCCTAGCTGAGGTCTTTGAAGGGGGCGTGATCTTCTCCACCAAAATCCTGTTGAGCGCAGGAATCAAATGGGAAAGGAAAAAGTTGATGAAAGAATCAATAAGATCAATAGGCGCACTCCTGTTAACAGAGCCAGCCTTAACCAAATTAGTTTCCTTCTGAACTCCAGAAACACCAATTGCCAACAATCCATTACTTGACCTTCGATTGCGGGAAGAACCAACAGAGGTCTTGTTAGCACTCATTGATCCAGCAGTAGAACTCCTAGCATCAAGAGGACTTTAACTGCTCGTGCAACTTCTACACATCTTAGATTTATCAATGGTAACTATTTTAAATTCATAAGCATCAGTGATTACTTTTTACTTGATCAATATTTACATCCTGTAGAGCCTTAAATACAAGTTCTAGGAAGGTAGATTGCAATCAACAATAGGAAACTGGACTCAAATGTGAGGAAAACAAATTATATTGAAGAAAAGGAAGTCGTAAGTTTTGTCAAAGCACAATAGTGGACTATCAAAGAACAAAAAGAGATTACAAGTTGTGAGTTTTTTAACTGGTAAACTCCATTCAGTCCTTATTTTCTTCGTCTCCATTAGAAATAGAATGTACCATGTTACATTCCATCGATAACTCATTAACGCAATCAATGGACAATAAGCTACATATATATCAAACGAATACAAGACGATACTGCCAAATATCAAGTACACCACAAATAAAAGATCGCTTTAGCCTGCACAAGTACCTTGTCTTAGCTTGTTGTCCTTGTTCCGAGATGTGAAAGGTTTCTTTGTCAAGTGTTCTTTTAAATCTATAACCAACATAACAATAGTAGACCCAATACATTTCTATAAATTGACAATGTTGCATAATTTTGTTTCATACTTCTAACAAATAAATTTCTAATGCATTTCGTTTTGCATCATGTATACAACAATATATACATTAAAAATGCATAATCATCTAGAAACATGAAAATTCCCAAATTAGCAACCATTTGATTAAAAAACAATGCAAATAAGCACATAAGTAGCAAAAAACCTATTAACGGAAAAAGGAAGAGTCACCCATGTCAAAGTTTCAATTTTGGTGCAAGACCCAGTAACAAAATTGATGGAAAACGGCAAACTTTGGCAAAAGGCACGGAATTTAAAGATGGTACCTCGACGCTTTTCTCAGGAAGTAAGATCCTAGCTGAGGTCTTTGAAGGGGGCGTGATCTTCTCCACCAAAATCCTGTTGAGCGCAGGAATCAAATGGGAAAGGAAAAAGTTGATGAAAGAATCAATAATCAATAAGATCAATAATCAAAATCCTTTTGAGCGCAGGAATCAAATTGGAAAGGAAAAAGTTGATGAAAGAATCAATAATCAATAAGATCAATAATCAAAATCCTTTTGAGCGCAGGAATCAAATTGGAAAGGAAAAAGTTGATGAAAGAATCAATAAGATCAATAGGCGCACTCCTGTTAACAGAGCCAGCCTTAACCAAATTAGTTTCCTTCTGAACTCCAGAAACACCAATTGCCAACAATCCATTACTTGACCTTCGATTGCGGGAAGAACCAACAGAGGTCTTGTTAGCACTCATTGATCCAGCAGTAGAACTCCTAGCATCTTCTTTCCACGAAGAACTCATTCTCTTAGTTACCAACTACAGTTCTACATGTGGATGTCTGAGTGCCTCCTGAAGCCAATCATCCAAAACAGGCACACCCCTAAGCTGAACAAACCTACCGAGGCATTCAATTCTATCAGTAGAAGATGCAATCACATCTGCAAACAATATCCTACCAGACAAATCAAATTTTTCTCTCATTCTTATCCAGTTGCATAAGATGCACCAGCTTGTTAACACATTCTGTAGTTATTAGCGACCCTTTTTCTGCTATTTTTGCAATCTCAGCTTTTGCCATATTGTCGAGTCTAGAACTGGCAGATTCACCATCCTCCAGCTTAGTAGGATGTTCTTGCTTAATAGGTTTTGTTCCCTGATCACCCCTCTCTCCCTCTTCTTTCCCTTAACCTGTGCAGGGAAGGAACTGCTACTATTCTGCAGACTTTCAGTATCTGATTTTAACTGCTGAGTTGATGTTGGACCATTCAATGGTTTTGGAGAACGATCTCCTGATTGCACTGTTGCATGCATTTCTAGTCGGGTCTTGTCCAATAAATGATCTACTTCTTCCTGTCGCTCCTGGGAAATTAAAAGAGAGACAAGAAAACACTGTGTATTGTGAATATAATCTTAATAAAGCAACAGCTACTGCAACCACTCAAAAAAAATTAAAATAAAAAAAACTCACGTTGATATAATCCTGGTTTGTTAACCACCATAAACACTTGTTTGCAATGTCATACACTCGCCTCGCCTACACACAAATGATGACACCCCTGGTGGAAGTTCAACACCCCTGCGGAGGAAAGCAACTTTACACGGATGAAGCAATGAAGCAGCGGATATCACGTCTTGGTGGAATGAATAAAAAACTTTGTTTGGTGCTGCTTCTAATAGTATGCCTTTCACGAGCTTGATGTCAGCAGGTCGATAAAGCCAATTTACCTTGTCTGTTGTGAACCACCGTATGATTCCAATAAAAGATGGGGCATTGCCAGCCTGAAAAAGTGCACAATCACCTGTACAAATCTTGCGACCGTCCTGCAAAATAAGAATAATTTGAGAACACATGCAGAGTAATAATTATTTGCTCATGATGCAAAATAAATCCACACTTCAGGCAAGGGTAAAAACCAACAAATAATAGCAACGGTGCCCGAGGTCAGGACTGATAAGGAATATTCTCAGCAAGCTAGAAGAAAGTCCTGACAATAAGCATAATTTTTACAAGGTTAACTTGAATATAGTTGTCTGTGCCCCTAGGGAGTAGCAAGTGGGAACCTGCAATGGAATTCTCTTCCTCAAGCCCATTTTGAAGCGGTTCCAAAAAATATACCCATTATAGCTCTTTCTTTCGTTTACCAGGTAAAAGAAAACTTACGCTCATATGCCATTTTTTAATATTTGAAACTCTACTCATTTTTCTGTACTTCAGAATGTAGTTCCAGTTCTTTGCACAAACCTTGAGGGGAATTTGTCAAAAGTAAGGTGAGAAATATCTGTGTACCTCATATGTGAACAAATCACTTTTTCCTATGTTCAGAATAATTTTTATGCAAACTTTTATTATGAATCTCAAGATAATTAAAGCCTTATTACCAAAAAAGAAACTATATTCAGAAATTTAAAAAATTTATTTTATTTAACTCATTATAATTTGTATCTGCAGGACTTCCATTGTCCTTGGAACAGCTATTCCACTTATTCTATTTCTTGTATGGGATGCTGTAATTCTTAGAACCATTTCAAGTCTTCACACAAACAGTGGCAGAGTCATTGACCCTTTAGAACTGTTACGATCAAACAACGGAATAGTTGGAGTAAGTTTATCATTATTAAGTCTTGGTTCATTTCCCTTCGAGTTGACTTCTATATCAATGAAATTAAACTAATGGTTGAATATTTCCGTAATGTGCAGCCAATTGTTGAGTTGTTCTCATTCCTTGCGATAGGCACATCATACATTGGATTTGTTTTAGGGCTTTCAGACTTTGTTTCTGACTGTAAGTAGCTCCTCTTTCTTTAGTTATATAATAAATTATCAATAAATGCTTGCCTATATATAGCTTCGATATTTTATTTACATTTTTCTTCCGTTCTTGCTTCCCTTTGAGGTAATTGCAGTGCTTAAGTTACCAAGTTGTCAGAGCAAACCTTTGCCATTTCTATTAACTTTGGTTCCTCCTCCGTATTATCGTTGCTTGATCCAGAGATTTTCTTCAAAGCCTTAGATTTTGCCGGAACTTACGGAGGTAACACATCTGTTATGTTTTTAAGTAGACACATCATGCAAAGCATTAAAATTGATGAATATAACACAAAAATTTACCTCAAATATTTTCACAGATTTTAGCGGTGATATTTTAGGGTCTCCGATGGTTCGTACTATTTTACCTGTACTCTATTTAAAGAAAGAAAGTAAGCCTTGTAAATTAAACACTGTAAACCAAAACATGAGCGTATTGTAACTATAACTTCAGTAAAATTTGAGGGAAAAGCAGGTATATAACAAGAAAAACAACAATGACAACAATTAGTAGACAAATAAATCAAATGCAAGTCACAAAACAGAGGCTAGACACAACAAATTAGTCTTTATGTTTTTTTGGGGGAAGACATTATCAAGTAAAATATCTGCAGACACTCATTTAGGTGAAAAAAGAATCTATCAAAAGATTCATGATAGGGAGTGGTCAATAAAACTCTTATCTCATCAGACAGCAGATTCTCAGATACAATCATTAACATGAATGTGTAATTTTGCTATGTATATAACTCATGATGAAAGAGGGGGCAACAAATCTCTTAAGAGTCGCAGGAGTCGGTGGAAATTTTTCTGATTAGTCAATCATACAATTGCCAGGGAACGTGCAAATGCATGCAAACCAAATTGAATGAATTTCATGACTCAAATGCATTAGTCCATAGTATTTATTTATCTCGTGTGATACCAATAATAGCTTATGATTTTAGAACAAAACCCATATGCAAAGTACAATAATTTTGTTAACAAATATAATTCTTTTCCACAACAACAATGGAATATCAATATTCTAGCCTTTTTTTCAAAGGAAAAACCTGATTAAATGAAAAGTACAAGCATAAAATCAAGGAAATATGGGAAATGACAGTTGGCCAACATCGCCAAAGTTTATTTGATATTGAAAGGAAACTACAACCACATATAAAGTATTTGCCAATCAAATTCATTTCATCTCTACAAATTATGTACTTCAACCATAAGCTGAAGTATATATATTGACTTCCAACAGTAAGCTCAATACAAAATCATCGCTCACAACCCTTTTTTACAATTACAGAGGCCTACCAAGGAAAAGAATCCAAATATACCATACGAAAATCAACCAATTTCTTGTGAAACCAAATAGCCTTAAAAACTTTTAAATGTATCCAAGTTCCTAGCTACAATAACTTAGAGCAAGCAATAAAAATATAAAATTCCTAATTGTGCTTTAAAAAAGGGTGCGCTAGATGCGCTAATACAAATCCAACAGCAGATAAAACTAAAGACAACATAAAAGTATAGTTACAACAATCCTGAAGCTCTAACCAAACTGCTAGTAAACTCATGCAAATTATATTTATAATTGCAACATATAACTATAACTAAAAT